TTAACAAACTGTCGATTCTAAAATATCAAAAGTTATAAAATCTTGTCACATCATAAGCATAAAAGATTCATCCTTTATAGTATTCACATATTGGTTTGATGTTGATGCAAGACATCTAAAAGAGGTAAAAACTACCAGACAGTAGAAACTGTAGCCGTCACACGTTTGCTGTTGTGGACGTCAAGACATAGATTTAAAAACAATACCTATTTACAATGTTAACACACACAAAAATTACAATGTTACAAACCTGCACTTGAAATAGTATATATTTACAAATAATTTGAATTTTAAAAAATGTATCCAGGAGTCAATTCTACAGTTCGACAAAACAAATAATTTGTGTACCATGCAAAAGTATCAAAGTAAACATGTTATAAATACATAAAGAAAACAACCGGAGTCAGTCATCAATCATCATCATGAACAAGAATAATCTACTTTCGGTGGGCACAAGCTTACTAGCTGATTTAATCTTAGTCGCCATGGCCGAGCGGCTAGACGCTCGCCGCGGATCGAAAGGTCGTGCGTTCGCTCCCTGGCGGAGGCTGACATTTTTCAAAAATGACATTGGCTCCTGGGTCAACCTAGCCATGAGTAGGTACCGGGTGCAGTCCTAGAAAGTAAAGGCGGCCAACGTGATGCTGACCACCTGTGCCGATTGGTCTCTAAAAATATAGGTCTAGCCCTACATGCCCTATATGCCTAGTGGTGTGGATATGATAACGTAGATGAATCCTACTTATATGCCAACAAGAAAAATTGTCTGAGGCTTTGAGTGAGGCTTATCGCTTGAAAACTAGAGATACACAATGAAAATGGCTTTTAATGGGGATAAACTGACTGTTTTTTTAATCACTCACTAGTGCATAGTGTTTGATTGATAAATGATGATCGTTGGGCCTGGAAACGGGTTGGAATATAATAAATTGTATGCCAGGGACCAATCATGTAGCCGACTGTAAAACACGGAAAAAGTTGATAAAACCACAATTGATTTGCCACCACAACTTAACACCCAAACTGGCAACAAATATTGACTAGATCCCTCGAAATTCCACACTTCCTAAGACTTTCTAACCCATAATTTCATTTCACAAAGCAATTAACTCGGACCCCTCTCAAAACGTGAATGTCAATTTTAAACAAGGCGGATTAGCCCGTGTTTGATGTACTATTTGCTCGGTAAATTATCGACGCATTTTGGAGCAACAACCAAACATTATGTTAACATTATACGTACGTGTGTAATGATTCACGGATTATAAGTGAGGAAAAACCCACGAAATGTAGAGTAGGTTTTTCTAATTTTAGAAAACACGCTACAGTCGCCTAGATGTTCTATATTAACAGTTAAAATAATTGTATTCAATCAAATGGGTGTGCGCTCGCGCGAACAACCGTGACGTCAGATACGATCTGATTACATATGAACATATGAAAATGTTTTTACATAAATTAACATACATTAAGTTGCAAGAAGGTATGAAAATATACGAATGACGTCCGGGGCTGTTATATATGTACATATTCACACAAACAAGCGAATATTGAGATTCTCAGGTTTATCAAGAAAGAAAAAATATCAATTCAGACGAGAAGCAGAACTAATCCGCTTAACAATACCACAACGTGAACTACAACAAGAACGTTACACATGGAAAGCTATCGGCTGCATACTGTACAAAGTGACAAAGTGTACAGTTGCAAACAACAATACCTAGTTTCACCTATGTGTCGCTAAGTCCTCACAAGTAGGTCAAATAGTAAACGCAAGTAGGCTGCCTCATCGAACAAAGAACGCAAACACAATCAAAGATGTCAGGGAGCTGCGTGGTCTCCATGTATGGTTTCCGCCTCTAGTGCTAGAGGTCCCGGCTTCAGGCCCCGCTAAAGGTTAGGTTTTTTTTTTCAAGTGGACTTCTAGTAATTTTTCCTGGACTCTGGGTAGTGAGATCAGACGCCCGTGTGTAATTTTGCGAACATAAAAATATCCCTTGGCAGTTGTAAATCGAAAAGCGTAGCCTAATGGCTCTGCCCAGGCAGCAAATATTTGGAGTTACAAATTTACCTAAAATATTTCAGGAACCTCGCCGGTGCTACGGAGTCTGTGCACTGCGCTAAGCTACTTCGGACTCAGATTTGAGTTAGGAGTAGAACGGAGCACTTATGGGTTACTACCCTTGTGCCATGATGTTGATCCGTTGTTCAAAGTTTCAAATCAAAGATGTCTATCTTTCCGACCTAACTTTACAGACATAATATTGCAGGGCATACCAGAATAGTGTAGTCTGTGTGTTGAGCATAATATCGGATGAGTTCAATGGAGTTGACGAAGTAAGAGAAATTATGGGCAACCACTGCTAACAATAATATAAAGAACTCTTTTCCACGCCTTTAGGCGTATGGGCATGTAGGCCTAATTTTGTAGACCAATCAGCACAAAATGGGTGATGTCAGCATCACGCCGGTTGCCTTTACTTCCCGGGACTGCGCCTGGTACCCACTCAATACTTGATGGACCAGGGAACCAAGGTCATTTGTGAAAAAAGTCCGGCTCCGCCAGGGAGCGAACACACGACCTTCCGATCCACGGCGAGCGTCTAGCCGCTCCCAACAATAATATGAGAGGAGGAAAATAAAAATGACCTTGTCGACTCAGCCTTGAGTGTGTACCAGGTTAAGCCATGGGAAGTAAAGTCGACCGGTATGATGTTACCCACCGTGTTCCGATTGGTCTATAAAATGTAAGTCTAGTCCTATATGTTCAGTACCTCTAAAGGCGTAACAACGGGTCATTAACTTTTACTTACGCGGAAACCTGGGTAGACTTGGACTTAAATGCGTGCCAGGAAAGTTTAAGGAAGTAAAGGAGGCAGTCATGATGTTAATCGCATCACTCACTAAGTGCCGATTGGCTTGTTTTTTTTAATGTGTGTCACCCGCCATATGCCCGGTGCAAAAATAGTTTCTGGGGAACTTCAGTATTTAACCTTTTACTGTCCTGGTTTGAAAAATCTGGCATACACGAGCTGTATTTGGCTCTAAAAGATTTAATTTCTAAAATTCGAAATCTAATTCTAGTAAAAAATATAGCAATAGGACAATCTGCTTCAGAAAAACACAGTGAATCTATACTACGCATATAAAAGATCATAAAAAATAAAAGTACACTTGTCAATTAAGTGACAATATACATGTATAAAGAGACTCACTAGTAACAAGTTATGATTTACAAACCGACAAACAATGTACAGCAATATATAGACAATATCATGCAGTGCCGCGAGATTAAAAAACAAAACACAATAATTATCATCATAATATTAGCTTGTCAATCTGTCTATTCCATGTCTTTCCCCGCAACGTTACAATTCTACCCGTATTGCGGACAGACTTTTTCGTACACCTTGCGGAAATTTGTCTAGACTGTGGTTGTTGTTTCATTTTTATTTGTTTACATCGATTTATATTCTTTTAACTTAGAATTAAAAAGTCTGCTTTTATTTTATGTTACAAACAAGGGGTAAAAATGATTAACTTTATGTTTTAAATGTATGGATTAGAAATAAAGCAATTGTTATACAAGCAGTTTTAACATAACAGTTTACCAGGCCAATACAAAAACTACATTGATATTAAAACATAGGCCTGCGGGTAAATTCAGCCCCATAAGAAATTTATTCGGCCCTGCACATATTTTAGTATAGTCATAATATTATTTATGCTAATTTACGCTAAAAAATCGTATTTAAAAAAAAAAAATGTCATTATCCAAGCTTTACAATTTTGGAAAAATACCAAATTTCTGACTTTTTCTCGAGCAATGTTAATCACTTTAAACTCACCTCTCTTATCATAAATGTATATTGTAACATAACTGAAACAACTATAATTATTTATTATTAACTTACAAAACATTAATGTGTTAGATACTAAAACAATCTTTACTATTCAAAACATTATATGTTAATAAAATATATATGTACATTGAACAACACGAGAATCTACCATCACAGTATATTTGTGTGTTTAAACACATTGTCACACAGTGAAATAAATTAAGAACACACATTGAAAGATGCATAAATGTGTGTGAAAAACAGCTGATAATAATGTGTGTTTATATCTGATCAGATAAGTAAAAATTAAAGAATGACTTATAAATCTGTTATTTTAAGCAGGTATTTCTCACGGTGTGTATGTGAATCGAAATAAACTGTGTACACATCTTTATATTTAGATAATTACACATAACGATAGGATAATGTTTTATTTCTATTTCTAAAACAAACTAATGGTTCTTGGTCATCAATCGGTGAGTATTACGAAAGTTTCCCCAATGTGTGTTAGCTCTGCTCATTTACGCTTTAGGTCACTTTTCCAAAGCAGCTGAGTTGATTTTCAGGAACCGAGATCACAGTATACAAGTGCTCCGTCTGCATCTTTAGCAACCAGCAACGATTTTTTAGCAACCAGCAAAGATTTTCAACTTCAGTGGCACCAGTAGAATTATGATTGTATGTCCGCCTTGCTTCCCTTTGGAGTGTCGGCCAGATCACCTTGTCACTCCCCGTTGCCACATTCTCTTTACACCCTGATGATATAATTGTACCTCTGTACTCTGTTCCCTCGCTCTTAAAGGGTTTTGACAACATCCTGAACGCCATGCATCGGCTCACGACCGAGGTGTGCAGAACTAGCAAGAACCTACGCGCCCAAATTGCTCCCTTACTTTGAAATGCAATCAATGCATATTGCTACTTCTTCAAATATAGTATTGGTTGGTAAATAGTAAATATTTAGGTTTTTTTTTTCACTGAAGAATACTTGTAGTCAAGTTACAATGAATACATACATACGTGCATGTGTATGTGCGTAACTATGAAGATTTAAAAAACAAAATACATACGAAAGTTTCAACAGTTTCACACCAACACTCAAAAGAGTTGTCGACTGTATATTAAATAAATGTGCCTAATAAATAGCTAGTAAACAACTCACAACAGATTTCCTGACGAAATACCCCCGAGCCCCTTGCTTCCATTGGATCCATAGTTGTTGATGTACTTCAGTGTAACAGCTCCCTCTCGGGGTCTAAACCGACAGAGAACATCGTTGGTTGGTGGCAAAATCTCATGGCCATACATGCCCGTGTGTGGAGCCGTTTTCTCACCCTCGAGTAGTTCTAGTTTGAAGCTGTTGACGATGTTGACGATGAACCATTTGATCTGGAGCATTGACAGCTTTTGTCCTGGGCACAGTGAGCCAAAGCCAATTAAAGGATGTTTAATTTTGATGCCGTTTTTGTAGAAGTCAGCGTCGATGAAACGGTCGTACTTGAAGGTCTGCAAGGAAGATAGCGAAATTTATAGAATTAATTACTTCAAAATATAAACAGTATATTTAAATTTACAATAAGAATAGTGATTTAGAAATTGTTCAAAGAACTCATCATGGGTTTTTATGAAAAAAAAAATGGTGGTGGTATTTACGTGGAGTGGGGGGGGGGGGGGGGGGGATAAATGATTAAAGAAATTACTCCGACTATTGTGTTGTTGGTCCTAAGCCATCAAATCCCAACATTTTTGTAGCATTCTGTTTTCAATGACGAGTTGTCAAAGGAGACAGTGCAGCTTTTCATGCAATAAAACCAATTCATTACTGTATTAATTAATTGGTTCGCCCCTGCCACCCCCCCCCCCCCCCCTTTTCCCACCTACCCCTTCTGGATGTTAAAGGTTAAATACCCCGAATTTAACATTTCCAATCCGGACGTCAGATCGACGAACAGATCTCAAACACCTGGTTCAACCTCTTAAGAACTATTATTAAGGGCCTCCGTAATGGTTACAGCAGACCGGTGTAACCTGCAATCTTGTTCTTGTAAGGACGACCCTGTATGATCGATCGATCTATCTGTTTGTCCCCTCCAGGCTTCTACCTAAAATGTACTGTATCATGAAGCGATGTGAAATTGTCATTTTGGATGGAAGCCTAAAAACGCAGATCGCAGGCAGCCCGTTCAACCTACAAAAACGTTATAATTACGACTACATTAGCCAGGTTCAACCTGCATTCATATGCCTGTCAGGACACGAATTCCTGTTTAAAATTTTAGCTTCTCTCTCTCTCTCTCTCTCTCTCTCTCTCTCTCTCTCTCTCTCTCTCTCTCTCTTTCTCTCTCTTGTTGTACCCCACTAGGACATCACACAAGCGATAAACACCCGTGGAGAGGTCCCAGAAACCCCTTTCAGCCGTTAGGCCATATTTATGGCCCGGCTATATTCAGGGCCCCCCCCCCCCCCCCCGGCAAAAACCAGGGTGTGGCTTCAAATAACAAAAAATTTGCATCCCACATGGGGACGACAATAGACACAATAATTTAGCCAGCGAGAACGCGGCTTTCGTTAACATTAAAATTTTAAGATCTGCCATTAACACATACAAAACTGAAAAGATAATCTGCTAGTTGATTTAAACAAAAACTGCAGGCAAAACGCAATTACATCGTCTGTTTAGTAAAAAGTAAATATCCCTTTTCAAGCCTTAAGGCCCATGGGGCATATGTGAAGAGCACCCATATTTTTACAGACCAGTCGGCACTAGGTAATGTAGTCACATTACGCCAGCCGTCTTTACTTCCCCAGCAAGTATCCTTGTACCCATTTTGGCCTGGATCGACCTGCAACGCCCCATACCATGAACAAAATCCACGCAGCCAGCAGTGGGTTTCGATCGGGGTACGTTGGAATTACGAGTCGGACTCGCAACGCCTTAGCCACGGACGCCGCTACATCGTCTGTTTGAAGAAACAACAATATCTCACCTCAGGTTCAGCGAATATTTCTGGGTCGTGATGGAACACCGGAGGATAAATAGCGACTTTGTCTCCCTTTCTGATATTGAATGTCTGACCACTAGCTGTAGTGAAGGCAGTATCCTCCACACACTTTCTGACCATAAACACTCCACTTGTCCAGCGAATGACTTCCTTCAGAAATGAATCTGCAACAAGAAAAAATCTATATTACAGCCGCTAGACTTATCATTTAAATACACCTTTATTTTGTAATCGAAATTGGCTGGCATAGTCTTGACTAAAGAATTACACTGTCATAGAGAGAGGCGACAATCACTGCCCCTAATGAAAAGTACGTAAGATTTCATTCAAGACAGTTGATGCCATCACACAATGGAATTTGTGTCTTCAGACGCTTAGCTCCCAACTCTTTTAGTAGCAGAAGATTTTGTTTAAAATTGCCGAAAAGTTATAAGACATAGTACACAGAATGTGAGTGCATAACTTTCCAGTGTGTTAGAAAATCTTGTCAGATTTCTTTGGCAAACTCCAAATAAATGTAAAATATGCAATTGCACACAGATTATTACTTAATACACACTGATCAAAGCTGATAACAAACTGTACGTTGTTTATGACATGAATAGTTAATGTGTCTGCAATATTTTTATCCTTACTGATTTTCTGAGGGTTGTGTACAGGTCTCTAGCGAAAGGCATGGCTGTTGGCAGGAAAGGTCTGAATTAGTCAGAATCAATGTATGTAGGAGGTACTGGCGATCGCTCGGGAGTGAATTCTGGAGAATTGGTATTGACTGAAATTATGTCTGCGTGGGGGAGAGGGGGGGGGGAGGATTGGAGCAATTTTCTGATGTTATTTGGACGTGAAAGCTGGAAGTTTTACCGCGCATATATGTGTGAGTGAGTGAGTGATTAGGTGAGTGAGTGAGTGATTAGGTGAGTGAGTGAGTGAGAGCGTGCGCATATGCAAGACGGAGAGTGTATGTGTATAGGCCTGTATTTGAGTCTGCGAGAGGGTGGGCAAGGGTGTACATGTTTGACTTTTAAACTCACTCTGCAGCAACGTTACTCACTTGCTTTGCAACTATACATTTGAACATTAAATCCATTATAGCAACCATAGACCATTGTTTAAGGTGAATATTTCAGCTGCCTCAATTCTCTCCTGCTCCACTTTTGCCCTACTACACGCTTCTATACGCCCAATTTCCCTACGTGTTTTTTTCGTGAATCACAATTAGGATTCTATCTGAGAGGCAACAGTAAACAACACACCTACTTACCAACAACTGGTAGCTTATTTATGTCTTCAGTGGTAAACTCAGCTTCGTATTCAGCCTGGTTCGCACCTGTTCTCTTGGCCTCGACTACCTCCTCGACTTCTCTCCTCACCGCAGACATCACTTCCGCGTCCTCCATCAACTTGTACATGCACCAGTAGACAGCCCTGAACGTGTTGTAGTTGACGTGGAGGAACACCAGGTTGTGGCAGATGATGTCCCGTTCTGTTTGGCTGCAGGAGATACAACAATGGATGCTGTTAAGCCACACGTGGGAGTGTAGATCTATTTATGTTTTACGAATGAATACTGTTTAGCTGAATTTGAGGGGTAAAATTTAGTTTACTTGTGAATGATTTTAGCCACTCAAATGTAAATCTGATTTACTAATGAACAATGTATAGCCACATTTGAGGGGTGTAGATTTATAATACTAGTAGGAAAAACTGTAGGTGTAAATCTGTTTTACTAATGAACACTGAATGAGACAGATTCTATGCAATACATTTATTTAAATATCGAATCCTGTGAAACTACATTCTAAGGGGTAAGGCTATTCAACTGATGAATGCTACTGAACTGCTTTCGGGGTGTGTAGATCTATTTCACAAATAAATGCTTTTTAGTCAGCTTCTGGAAGTATTTTTTTTTTAAATATTACATATTGGCTTATTGTAATTAATACTACTGAGAACCAAGTGATGACCGAATCTGCAATAATGATCAGACTTCAAAAAAAAAAAAAAAAAAAGACAAAACAGCGCGTTAAAAGGATGTAACCAGACAAGTGCACTATGGAGGAAGCTAAAGAAAAATAAGAAATCAACACAGGACTGGTGTCATCAGCCGTTACACGCTGTAGGATTTACCACTGAGGGGGTGATCCGAGCACTTGTGGGCTGAATGAATGGTTTCATGTGCAGTGGGGATAATCTGTCGACTAATTAACAAACTAATTAAAAATACCAACAGTAATTCTGGAAAGAAAGGGGAGGTGGGGGGGGGGGGGGGGGGGGGGGGGCGCGACTTTATGAGACTTACTTGTTTCTCAGCATAAATTCTGTGGCAAACTTGATGTAGTCGGAGCAGCCCTCCCTCTGAACCATGTCTGAGCTACTGGGCTGTTGGGCCAGGATGCCTGCTGCTTCTACTGCCTGAGGAAACATCTGCACTGGTAGCCCCAGCCACAAAAAGTTGAAGTACTTGTGGAACTGGTCGAAGTTTTTGTGGAACACTTGTGGGTGAAAGTTGCTCTCTTTGCCTGCCTCTTCTCGTCCAAAGATGGTGTAGAAGACGGGAGAAAAGAAAGTCTTTGATGCCAGGTTTCTCAAGTTGTCTTGGCTCCAAGAATCGGCAAAATAATCGGCCTTGAAGGTTGACGGTTGTTCCAGCAGTTTTTCGGAGGCCATGATTGATGCAATATTGTAATCTTTTTTAACGTCCGTCTCCAAAAGATCATAAAGATCATTTCGTTTTTCGTTCGCTAGAATGTTGCTATTGTTTTTCATGTTATTGATCATAGTCTTATTTTCTCTAGTTACAGTAGCATTGTCTGCTTCTGAAGCCGTCTGCTTGAAAGCCTCTGTGAGATTATTGGCGAAGTTCTCCAGGGATGTAAATAAATGTTTACCATTGACTTTTTGACCCGCCTCGCTAATCATTTTTCTGGCGTCAACAATGTGATATCCAAATACATTGTTGTTGACTTGCTCCTGTATGGCATCAAAATCAAAGTTCTTCTCCTTGGCAAACTGCTCGTAGCTGTGAATGTCCAGCACCATTGTCCAGTACTGGTTTAAGAAGCGGACAGTAAACACGTCCCCGCATTTCTTGTGGGCAGCGTGCAGAAACTTGACAGCGTGGTCAGTAAACTGCTTACCGTTTCCCCAAAGAAAATGACCCGGAGCTAAGGGAGGTTCACCAGCACGCCTGGTGAAAAGAAAGACATACACGTTTAAGTCAGATTTTACATTTAAACATAGTGACTGCCTTTCTTTATATAATTATTTATCAAACATTTCTAACAAAATCTTTGCTTTAGGTTGCATTTAGTGGAAGTTTATGGTGGCAGGACTGCATGAAGCTTGAATGTCAGCTTTATGCCATTTATATCTTTTTGTTCTATTGCCCTCTCTTTATTTCTTGCAATACAAAGGCCACACACAAAAGGAAAGGAATATGCAAACTAAATGTGCCTGGATTTAAATATATATTTAGAACTGGCCTGTTTTACTTGATTTATGACCATACATATATATATATAGTTTGCCTCGCGTTCTGAAGGTCGTGGGTTCGTTTCACGGCTGCGACGTTAAGTTCACGAATGCAATTTTGACGGAGATATTTGGGGGTCGTCGCTAGAGTTACGAAGTTTGTGTTCTGTGTGGCGCTCTCGGCAGGAGGCTGTACTACGGAGAGATACCGAGCCATATGGCATAAAACCCGGTGCAATGAAGTCGATCCTCATACTTGTAATGACGTTGTTCATATACATTTACACAGTGTCAAAATAGACTGCTGTTAATGGTTGAACTTGTGACTTGGAAGGGAACCGGCTAACCCACAACACATGTCACCCAGCATGTATACAGTTTTAACACTTTAAACCCTTAATGCAGTGTTTGCTTTATACACATATACAAACACCACCCGCACATCAACTTGTTAACGCCTTTACCAAATTAAAGACCAAGGTTTCCCCATGTCGCAAGACAAAGTGACAATACATTTTCAAAAGTCACAGGAAACAACAATTCGCATGCTGATGCGTGAAGGCAGCTATCACACACGCACGCACGCGCATGCACGCATACGCACACACACACGCGCATGCACGCATACGCACACCCACCCACCCACACACACACACACACACATACACACACCACACACGACATCTCGCTACTTCCATCGTTGCGATTTGCCAGGAAGCCCCAGACAACAATGTGCAAACAGCTACTTTGGGCATCAAATGTTAGCAAACGGGATCCAGTTTTGGGACCTTCCGCTTTGCACAGCTAATATTCCCGCCTCGAATCGTTTCAGACTGTTTAACATTGTTCCAATTGGATCGGCTAAAAATATCTTGGCTCTCCAAAGTTGGTTTTGACAGCACGACAAATTCTAGACCAAAACTCTGGTTGTTTGCTGTTTGTTTGGTTCTTCCAAATTTGAATGTATGCTTTTTAACAGTTTCAGGCTAGATAAATAATCCAATAATAAACTTCAGCGACAAGAAAAACTGCTATGCCCCCACTTCCACACAAGACACAAAATCAACAACAGCAGCAGCTCACAAAAACTACAGATACAAAAAGCACATGACACAACAACAGGGACGAAAATGCAACTATACACAAACATAACTACAGGAAAAGAAAAAATAATAGCATGACTGAACGGAGAGAAAGTACCAACAGCTAGGAAACTAGATTTAGGTTTCGGTTTAAACAACAGATCAACATCATGGCACAGTGGTAGTGACCCATAGATGCTCCGTTCTACTTTTTACTCTCGTCTGAGTTCGAAGAATCCGAGCGCAGTGTACGAACTCCATAGCACCGGCGAGGATCCTGAAATACTTTGGGTAGCTTTTTAACTCCAAATTTTGTCCGGGCAGCGCCTTTAGGATACTCTTTTCAATTTCCAACTGGCAAGGGATTTGTTTACGTGCGCAACAATCCACCAGGAGAAATTACTAGAAGTCCACGTGAAAAGATCCCAGCCTTCGTCGGGGCTTGAACCTGGGACCTCCAGCACTCGAGAAGGACGCCATGCCTGGAGACAACGCAGCTGCTAGGAAGCTAGACCTTGAGAAATTTATAGCACAGGGCGTCCACTAAACTCGTTTGCCTCGCGCTCTGAAGGTCGTGGGTTCGTTTCACGTCTCTGACGTTCAGTTCGCGTATGCAGTTTTAACGGAGATCGCTAGGGGTCGTCGCTGGAGATTCGGAGTTCGTGTTCTGTGCGGGGCTCTCAGCAGGAGGCCGTTCTTTGGAAAGACATCGAGTAATGTGGGATAAAACCCGGTGCAATGAAGTCGATCCTCACACTTGTAATGACGTTGTTTAGATGGGTATTTTAAAATGTATGGAAACCTATAGGTTAACCTGTGTATACAAACACTTAAAAAAAAAAAGTCTACAACTAACTCTATGTATCATCATCATGTATCAGGTCCTTTGCAGAACGTCGCTCTCATAACATTCTGCCTGAAAGAAACTCGGTCTCTCGCCAGTTCTCCCGCCTCCTGCACTTTCACACTCAAGGAGTCACTTATATCCTGTGCCCATCTTCGTGTCGGTCGGCCCCTGCTCCTCCTTCTTGGTACCATGCCTTCTGCTATAATTTTTTCCAATCCGTCGTGGCGCTTGATATGACCAAAATATTTCAGCTTCCGAGACAGGATGCTGTTTATTAGCCAATCTTTCTTGATGTTCACATCTTTTAAGATGTCAATATTTATGTTCTTCTTTGTCCAAGATATTCTGAGAATCTTTCTATAGCATTTCAGCTCAAAAGACCCTATTCTCTTTCCTAAGGACTAAGATATAGTCCACGACTTACATCTGTATGTAGCCACAGGGAAGATGCATGCTCTCAAAATTTTAATTATTATCTCCTTGCTGGTGCTTAACCATACACTGTTAAGGCTGTTCAGTATAATAGTTTTATAATAACTACTGTCTGTATTTAACACTTTCTAGGGCGGCGTCGACAGGGCGATCGCAGGCCACATGAATTAGGGCCTCAACTTGTAAAAATCCTGCTTCCAGTAATCTTGCTTGTAATTAGTTTAATTTTTTTTTTTTTAGTTTAATTCTAAGTTGAAAAACAAGAAGTTTTTTTAAAACATATTTTAATCAAAAGCCATAGAAGTTATGATGTTTTACACGTTGATTTAATTCGAAGCATTTTCTAATATGGCTTTTGAGTATTCTTTTTTTGTCTTTCTCTTTTATTTTTTTTTTTTCAAAGTAATTCGGGGGTAAAGGCCGGGGTAAAGGCCGGGGTCTTGTCGTATATTCAAGGAAGCGCCAACTTTACAATTTTAAATACTACTAACATAGACGAAACTGCACTAGATGGTTGATGTAGTCAACATTACGCCGGCCGTCTTTACTTTCCAGGGCATTACCTGGCACCCATTTTAGTCTAGGTGTGAACTGGAAGACAGCGTGATTTTTTTTTTCCATTGGAGAAAAAAAAATCTACCAAGATGCGGTTTTCAACCCTAGACCAACGGATCGGAAGTCGCGCATCTAGCATCTTAGCCACTGCAGCTCCGTCTTCATCAAATATAACAATATTTATCAAAGGAATAACAAAAGACTGCTTACTTAATAACCATATCAGCTAGGACTGAATAACACTGGACATCTAAATGATAAAGAATATTAACATCCGAGAAAAGACAAAAAAATATAATAACATACTTCGTAATGAGAAAAGAAGCCAGATTTTTAAATTAAAGAGAAAAATATAGTTTCCTTTGAAAATAAAATTGTTTTGATTTGAAAACATCGTATTAAAATAGTTTACGATTAACGAAATCAGAAATCTTTACTACATAATAAAATAGTGTTCAGACTGGGGGAAAAAAACCTTCTGTATTTTAAAAAGAAAGAAAGAACTTCCTAATAAAATTTTATAGTATTCTCCAAGCTGCAAACGAAGTCACACTTTAAAATCAAATTAAAATACATTTCAAACTAAACACAGAGAATATAATTAAAATAAATAATATACTTTAAACTTTAAAATCACCCAGTAATTAAATTAAATAATATACTTTGAACTGACAGTAACACTATACTCACAGTCTCCTGTAGAATATTTTGAAGTAAGCGAAGACCAGAGCCACTAGCAGAAAGCCCAAGTAAACAGTTGCAGCAGCCATTTGTAATGTCGGGGAAGTCCCTCACGGTACTAAGTCAAAATCAAGTCTTCGTTCACAGCAAAGTCCACAAGGAAGGCAGGCAAGCTCGGAGTACCGCCACAGACAGGTTGTGTCCAAGAAGTGGTGATCTGCCTTTAAATATGCCCTGGTTTGGCTCACTGCTCTCTGAGGTGTGACGTAGAAACTATCGCCTCCTTTAAACAATAGAGAACTCTGGGCTGACAAAAAACGCCTGAAATGACAATTTTATAACGCATGTGTGAGGAGGAGTGGGCAAACACGGAGATGCTGCATTCAGCTTGTTTGTTTGTGTTATATTTAAATCCGGATTTTTTTTCAAGTCTTGCCTCAGTGTCGATCGGGCCTCAAATCTTGTACCAGGAAATGTGTTTAGGAAGTAAAAGTGGCCGCTGTGAAATTATTCACATAGCATGTCGAGTATCGATTGGTCTTTAAACAAGGGCGTTGGAAAGTCTGACCTTGCCAGGGCAAACGTAAAAACGTTTGACCAAGTTATTTCTTTATTGTGGCCAAATGGCTAGGCGTCGCAGGTTAAGAGATGATCAGTATCCTAGCTAGGAGGCTGCGTGGTCTCAATGCCTGGTGTCCGCCTCAAGTGCTAGAGGTTCTGAATGGCTTTGGAATGATGTTATAAATATCCACGTATAGTTGTCGATAGAAAGGTTCCAATATTTAATCTCATCAATCTCCGCAATGAACATTTTGTGCAACTTTCCTCAACACTCCCTATCTAGTGTCTTAGTAGTAAGTACACTTTCTCATTCTGCTGTTTGTCAATCTCTTGATGGCGTCCTCCGACGGTTCTACCTCTTGCTCATTTGCTTTTGACTTACTCCTTCAGTAAGAATTTTAAAAGAGCATTGTCTTTTTACCAGAATCAAATCTGTGAACGTCTTTTTGTATGTCTTTCAGTAAATTTCTGTTTACTCGCAGTCTCTCTGAATGGCAATGTTAAAATAATACACCCATAAAACCTCTATACGCTTGTCTGCAGATGCAAAGGTCGTTGGTTAAAATCTGAACCGAGACGGACTTTTTTTTAAAAAAAACCGTATATGGCCTTGGCTCTCATGTCAACCCAGCCTGGAGTTATTACCAGGTAAGTACCAGGGAAGTGAAGGCGGTCAGTCCAATCGAGAGCTTAAGAACATTAGTTCGGCATGGGAGTATCTGGCAACATCTTCTTGTTTTCTTCTTGTTCTTCTTCTTGTTCTTCTTCTTCTTCTTCTTCTTCTTCTTCTTCTTCTTCTTCTTCTTCTTCTTCTTCTTCTTCTTCTTCTTCTTCTTCTTCTTCTTCTTCTTCTTCTCCGATGTTATCATCATCGCACACACTTAAAAATTAGGCACAATTAAAACACAGTTAGTTAGGCGTATATCCTTTATAGGATAATCTAAAACCAACACCAGTATTTTGTGTGTGCCTGTTTGTAATTTTACTAGTCAATTAAACATTTAGTAGTTTGCCATTACTTTCTGGACGGTTAGCTCTCAACAGCACAGTCGAAACCATGGAAAAGATATATATGCTGCTAGATCGTCTGCAGCTGGGATCGAACCCGTCATTACCGTATTACCAAGCACTTTCGAAACCCCTAAGCTCCAGATAAACAAAACAGCTGTCAGTCTTCACTTGTCGTCCATATAAAGAGGACTTGCAACAAGCACTGGTGTTTTTTTAAATAAGGATTCTTTCTTCTACGTTTGTATGACACGGTTACGGTACATCTTCAAACAGTAATTTCATCAGTTCCACAGCTGTATTCATCTACTGTTTAATTATGTCTAAATATAGTTATTCAGAACGGATGGCAATGGAAAAGGAAAACAGTGTTAAGCTCGTGCGTGACGTATATCTTGTGCGTTGTTTAAAATGTATCCTTGATGGAACACATTTACCCAAACCCTAAAAAAAATATATGTTTACACACATACACAAAGAAATATATTTTTGCACAGGCGAGGATTCAGAAGTGTCATCAATAGGATAATTCGGGCACAAAAAATGTATGAGTGAGCACGCAATAACGCGAATAAAGTACTCAATACTTAACCGCCTCTTTAAATCTACTACTGGATGTGTTAAATCCACACCACGGCAGAAGGTTGTTGTTTCCAATAAGTAAGAAGAAACTCCAGAGGAGAGCATGTACAGCAGGAGTCTACCAATCATCAGTAGAAGTAATCTCTCGTCGACAAATGTTTCGGCCCACGAGCTCCTCGACTTTTTCAGAGAGTGAGCCCACCTGAGTTCATGAGGCTCATTGTTGATTTTCTCCTGCTGCACGTATTACTGGATTTTATCGGACAGGGACAAGACGAATTGGGAACTTATCAAAAGGTACTGTGAGATACGAAGTCGTTGCGGTAGCATAATTAGAGCAGTCAGCTTCCCAAACGACCAAGTGGCAAGCTTACGTTTGGTTTACCAGACACATGTTGGACTTTGTTGGCAGGTGGCAGAGGGACACTGGCAAACAATTCGGACACGATGGACTTTAAGGGATAAGACATTTCCAAAACTTACCCAGGTGGATTTAGCGTGGGTTTATCTGGGTAAAGATTCGACAACACAGTATTCAGGACCAGCCCATGTTAGCTCCGTCTCTTTCCTCAACAACCAACCAAAAGTGTCTAAACTAATGGTTATCGACGTCATCCAACTATTCATCTTACTTTCACCCCGAATACTGAGTAACGAACAGAGCCCCAGACGCTCCTAGTTGCATCATTCTTTTAAGATACGGCTTTCAATATTTTCTCTTTTTTTGCGCTTTGTTAGATTGTCCCACAGGCGGGGATTCCCCTCTGCAGTTGTAGTAGACCCCCAAGCGGGGTGTCAGTCCCTCAAAACTGCCTGCTCATTCCCAAACACACCTATCCGTGCCCGGGAAAAAAATATCCGTACCGCTTTCACTTCCTACAACCTCTAGATTGATGCGACCCATTCCTTACGAAGAAAACGTTCTAAATCCAATTTTCAGAGCATGTTTTGAGAATCCGATATAACAATATGTGTGGTTAAGATTGTTTTCTACCCATCAGAATTCTGCAATTAACAGTCGTCCCAATAAAGAAGGCAATTTTTCTTTATTTTAAAGCCCCACAGGCTGTAGTCGGGGGGGGGGGGGGGGGGAAATAATATAACGTAACGGTTGAACTAGGTTTCTGGGACCTCTCCCCGGGTGATCCTAATCCGCATCGTGGCACTTTATGTCACCAGGTGTTATCGCTTGGTGGATGTTCTGATGGGTTGCATCTCATTCACTCTAACTCTACAACTGCAGCCCCAACCCCCATTGTCATTCTTATGTAAAGTCTAAAAAAGGCAACAGCTAACGTCCTGGAAAGTAAGGGCGGTAAGCGTGATGCAGAACACATGACCCACTGATTGCCATAAACAAATATAGATCTAGCACTATATGCCCGATGTACCCAAGGTCTGCTACTTTCATTTCACTCAGGGGATGATTTTGTAAACTTCTTACCCCTGACCGAGGATTTGGTGCTTTCCTAATATCTCCTCCCTCCCCCCCACCCCCACAGGACAGTCCAATATTTTCGAGGATGGAAGGACCGGGTTTTCCGGCTTTCTGATGCTTTTAGGGACCCCAAAACCTCTATCACTGGCCTAACCCCAAACCACCTTCGTCCCACGAGAGAATGCAGCCTAGGTCCCACAGCTGCTTGCAGCCTTTGTTTCACGACTACATGCAATCTATATTGTTTTTAACCTTTCAGCTCCTTTAGGACCTAAACCCACAACCTTCGAATTCGCAGGCGAGCGTCTAGCAGAAACACCACGGCGGCTTCCTTAACCAACTGCACGAATAATAAACTGTATGTTTGTTAGTTGCGTATCCTTTACAGGACGTTGCAGAACCAACCCCAGCAGCCCTTGGTTGTTGTGTGGTTTATGAAGGCAATTTACGTCCAGTAGTTTGCCATTGTTTTCTGGACGGATAACACTGTCGAAACCAACGCAAGGCGCTTGGCCCGCAGCTGGGACCGAACCCGGCACCCCGGCATTACGAAGCGTTCGCATCGACTTAGCCACAGAGCTAAAAAAAAAACTACACTAGCAATACATTTGAGATGATAGTTTGCTGTTTGGATATTGAATTGAGGTCAGCGGTGAGTGGGGTCGAAAGCCTTAAAGATAAACTGTCACTTGTGACTGATCAGATAAAATCGATAACAACTTTATCGTATCTACTGATGTGGCGTCGGCGGAAGCTTCACATTTTGTGTTAAGCGAACAACTGACAACAGATCGATGGGCCACATAGGTGTTAATCATCAAATTCAAATGATTTGACATGTGGAATTCCTTACCCGCACACAACTGCAGACTATATTGGGCTGGTGCAGTAGTTACGGGTGTCCCGTTACCAGTGTCTGTGAAAGTTGAACGGGGTATCTCAGTTTTGCCCAGTTGGTCGGGTATGCATATTGAGATACTATCATCTCAGGGCGTCAAACCTATGGATAGATTAATATTATTGCGGCGGGGGGGGGGGGGGGGGGTATGGTGGTGCGGTCGAACAGAACTTTACATATTGACCGATATACAATAAAACATAAATATCAGGATTCTACTTCCAGCCAAGTAATCTATGGCAGACTAAGTAGAAGGGATGTTTAGAGGGGGAAAAAAAAGGGGGGGGGGGGGAATAAGGGCTTCTAGTATTATAGAATATGTCCCATGTACATTCTGTGTATGTTACTGTGGTCGTGTTCAGGGTTCCAGGGCCAGGATTAGAGTACGAACGGAGCGCGTTTTTTTTTTTTTTTTTTTATGGCTTCTAGCTTGACCCAGCCTAAAGTAGGTACCAAGTGAAGTCATGGGAAATAAAAACGGCCGGCGTGATTTTGACTACATCACCCACCGAGGGCAGACTGATCTATAAATCATAAGTCCGGCACTATATATCCAACACGACTAAAGGCGTGGAGAAGGGTCCTAGACTCTTACTGTCTCC